AGTTGTATTTTGTTCGTCTCCTAAGTGGTTAAAAATATGATTCATACTAATTTTGTCATATTTCTATATTTGTTGAATCCATAAGTGGTTAAAATTTTTATTTATATACCCATAAACTCTCTCGTAAGTAGTTGAAAATTCAATTTTCATCTCATTTTAAATTCTACTTAGGGTAGCGTTTCAAAATTAACTAGTATTTTAAACTTTCTTTGTTTTACCAAATAGAAGTTATAGCTTGGATTCAACTTAAAATATGTCATAATCTCGAAAATAAATTCTACCAAACAAGATAATATTGGATTATATCCAATCTCCTCTCCTAAACTATATATGCATACTATTGAGTAGGCCTTCTTAGCTTAGTGGTAGAGCGTGTGGCTTTTAACCACGTGGTCGTGGGTTCGAACCCCGCAGACGGTGATTGAAATTGTAGTTTTAACAAAGCTGTATTTTCTTGATTTCGTAAGTGGTTAAAAATTTGACTTATATTAATTTTTTCATATTTGTATATTTCTTGAATCCATAAGTGGCTAAAATTTTCATTTATATACACATAAACCCGCTCGTAAGTAGTTGAAAATTTAATTTTCATCTCATTTTAAATGCTACTTTGAGTAGCGTTTCAAAGTAAACTATTATTTAAAACTTTCATTGTTTTACCAAATAGAAGTTATAGCATGGTTTCAACTTAAAATATGTCATAACCCCTAAAATAAATTCTTCCAAACAAGATAAATATTTGTTTATATCCAATATCCTCTCTCACATTATACATGTATATAATTGAGTTGGCCTTCTTAGCTCAGTGGTAGAGTGCGTGGCTTTTAACCACGTGGTTGTTGGTTTGATCCCCACAGACGGTGAATGAAATTGTAACATTGTCAAAGTTGTATTTTCTTCGTCTCGTAAGTGGTTAAAAATTTGATTCATACTAATTTTGTCATATTTCTATATTTGTTGAATCCATAAGTGGTTAAAATTTTTATTTATATACCCATAAACCCTCTCGTAAGTAGTTGAAAATTCAATTTTCATCTCATTTTAAATGATACTTAGGGTAGCGTTTCAAAATTAACTAGTATTTTAAACTTTCTTTGTTTTACCAAATAGAAGTTATAGCTTGGATTCAACTTAAAATATGTCATAATCTCTAAAATAAATTCTATCAAACAAGATAATATTGGATTATATCCAATATCCTCTCCTAAACTATATATGCATATTATTGAGTAGGTCTTCTTAGTTCAGTGGTAGAGCGCGTGGCTTTTAACCACGTGGTCGTGGGTTTGATCCCCACAGACGGTGATTGAAATTGTAGATTTAACAAAGTTGTATTTTCTTGATCTCGTAAGTGGTTAAAAATTTGATTTATATTAATTTTTTCATATTTGTATATTTCTTGAATCCATAAGTGGCTAAAATTTTCATTTATATACACATAAACCCGCTCGTAAGTAGTTGAAAATTTAATTCTCATCTCATTTTAAATGCTACTCTGTGTAGCGTTTCAGAGTAAACTATTATTTAAAACTTTCATTGTTTTACCAAATAGAAGTTATAGCATGGTTTCAACTTAAAATATGTCATAACCCCTAAAATAAATTCTTCCAAACAAGATAAATATTGGTTTATATCCAATATCTTCTCTCACATTATACATGTATATAATTGAGTTGGCCTTCTTTGCTCAGTGGTAGAGCGCGTGGCTTTTAACCACATGGTTGTTGGTTTGATCCCCAAAGATGGTGAATGAAATTGTAACATTATCAAAGTTGTATTTTCTTCGTCTCGTAAGTGGTTAAAAATTTGATTCATACTAATTTTGTCATATTTCTATATTTGTTGAATCCATAAGTGGTTAAAATTTTTATTTATATACCCATAAACCCTCTCGTAAGTAGTTGAAAATTCAATTTTCATCTCATTTTAAATGATACTTAGGGTAGCGTTTCAAAATTAACTAGTATTTTAAACTTTCTTTGTTTTACCAAATAGAAGTTATAGCTTGGATTCAACTTAAAATATGTCATAATCTCTAAAATAAATTCTACCAAACAAGGTAATATTGGATTATATCCAATATCCTCTCCTAAACTATATATGCATATTATTGAGTAGGCCTTCTTAGCTCTGTGGTAGAGCGCGTGGCTTTTAACCACATGGTTGTTGGTTTGATCCCCACAGACGTTGAATGAAATTGTAACACTATCAAAGTTGTATTTTTTTCGTCTCGTAAGTGGTTAAAAATTTGATTCATACTAATTTTGTCATATTTCTATATTTGTTGAATCCATAAGTGGTTAAAATTTTTATTTATATACCCATAAACTCTCTCGTAAGTAGTTGAAAATTCAATTTTCATCTCATTTTAAATGCTACTTTGTGTAGCGTTTCAAAGTAAACTATTATTTAAAACTTTCTTTATTTTACCAAATAGAAGTTATAGCTTGGTTTCAACTTAAAATATGTCATAATCTCTAAAATAAATTCTTCCAAACAAGATATATATTGGTTTATATCCAATATCCTCTCCTCAACTATACATGCATATTATTGAGTAGGCTTTCTTAGCTCAGTGGTAGAGCGCGTGGTTTTTAACCACGTGGTCGTGGGTTCGATCCCCACAGACGGTGATTGAAATTGTAGGTTTAACAAAGCTGTATTTTCTTGATCTCGTAAGTGGTTAAAAATTTGATTTATATTAATTTTTTCATATTTGTATACTAGTAGGTGCACCCGCGCGATGCGCGGCTGTATATATATTATGATATGTATACAGTATAATATAATTAGATGAAAAAATATATAGTTTGAATTCGTAATAGTATGATATATATACAGTATAGAATATAGTGATTAGACCTTTAAAAATGTGAAATGAAAAGTTGTGATTTTATTCGACATTGATGAAAATAGTAGTTTTATTATACATTAAGAGACTCTACCTATATAGTACATAAAATATGACGTATAATATAATAAGAATAAGAAACCTAATAAGAAACGTATTATTGAAACAAATTGTTAATTGTTATTATACATTATTGAAAACTTCTTTGTACACAACATTTTTAGTCGTACTAAGACATGGTACACTTTCCCCGCAAATCAAAATTTTCAAACCCCTGGGGTTACTAACTCTTGAAACAGCTACGTATAGTTGTCCATGGTTAAAGACCGGTTTTTTCAACAACAACCCAACTTTAGCAAGCGTTTGTCCTTGACTTTTGTTGATTGTCATGGCATAGGATAGCATCAAGGGAAATTGCTTTCGTTGAAATTTGAAAGGCAATCTAGGATCTGACGGTGTAAGAGACATCCTAGGAATCAATACTCTGGTTCCTGCATTTGTACCGCACATGATTTGGCCTTCCAACACATGGTCAGCCAACCTTGTAACAATCAACCTTGTACCGTTGCATAATCCTAATGTGTGATCAATATTTCGCAACAGCATAACAGGTGATCCAACTTTCAATGTCAACGCAGGATTTGGGACTCCAGAACATCTCAATGCATTCAAGAATTCCGGAGTGTGCAAATCCGCTAACATGTCCACATTGGCATCTGACTTACACACAGAATCACAACTCAGGTATGTCTTACTCTCAGCGGGATTATGGTCATTCATGTATTGGTTAACGGCATCTACCACATCCAATGTTGGAGCTAAAATTGCACTATGATTAAGATATGACAAATCGGCAAGTCCCAGTCGGAAATTGGGGAAAGTGCTATCAACAATTGTAGCAATAGGGTCATCTTCGCACTTTAACAACAAATCTTCTGGAATAGTAATCTCTGACTCCCCATCCAGTTGACACCCAATCATTCCGTCACCTATATTAGCTATCCATTTAGCAAATTCCTCGATCTCCTTGCACTCGGATTCTGATTGAACACTTTTCAAGCGTAGATTCTTAGTCAGCCTCAAGACTTTACAGGATTGCCATAGATAGGATGAGCTAATGCTCGCACGAACTATATCCAGTCTAGTACCCTTGGGAATGACTGGTAAAATTTGCCTGAAATCGCCACCCAAAACAACTGTTTTGCCACCGAATGTCATATCAGAACTCCTTGGATTTACGAAGCGCATCAAATCCCGCATAGTTCGATCCAAAGCTTCAAAGCAGAATTTATGCATCGTTGGGGCTTCATCCCATATTATCAGCTTTGTTTGCACAAGAAGTTCCGCCAGTTCACTGCCGTTCCTTATGTTGCACGTGGAATCTTCATTAACAGATATCGGTATAGCAAATCTTGAATGCGCCGTACGACCACCAGGTAATAACAGCGAAGCTATGCCGCTAGAAGCAACATTTAAAACTATTTGACTCTTAGACCTTAATGCGGAAGAAAGTGCTCGCCACAAGAAAGTCTTACCTGTCCCTCCATAACCAGATACGAAGAATAGCCCACCTTGCTGGCAATCGACGTCAGTTAACACTTCATTGTATATTGCCCTTTGTTCGTCTGTTAACTGCCTTACCAATTCTTGATTCTCTTTCTTTTGTTCTCCACGATCGTATGATAATTCTTCTTGAATCAACCTATTTGCAATAATGTTTAACGCACCAAAATTGGCCGTTGGCATCTCAGGATAGTCCTTCAAACTCTTACCATGATTAGATAATAGCTTTTCAATATGAACTAAAGCAAAGTTCATTTTCTGCGAATCGGGCAACACAAACTCTGCATACATATATATAAACATTTGTTGTTATAGCTCAAATACGTTAAATTTGACTTAATATTCTTTTAAAAATGTACGATTACCTCTGTTCTGCAGTTGTGTACGGATATTGAATTGGGCATCGTCTGATAGATGTTGCCAAACGGGCGTGCCAAACTATTTCCGGTTTTCCCATGCAACTGCTCATTAGTATTGTCACAAACAATCTCCTCAATTGTTCCGCTGACGCCCAATGACTGGCTTCATCTATTGCATCAACATATTCGTTGTCATCATCAACTAAACCTCTTGCATAACACGCATCTCAGAATGAGTCATATTGTACTCCATTTACAGTCCTAATATCTTCGTAACTTTTAGGGCCGCGGACTTTGTTGAGCAAACACCTCAAATAGAAGATTTCACCAGTAGCTGGCGGAACATAGAATATACGTCCTATGGAGAACCCTTTCTTTCGTGGCTGCCATTTTCTAAGGTCTTTCTTCCAAACGAATCTTGTTGGCATCTCAACATAAGTAAGCTCTCTGGCACCGGGGTATGTTTTATTAGCTTCAAACCATTCTAAAAACATGCTCTGTGCTATCGTAGGTCTATTCACAATGTTCTCAACCGCATCATCATCTGCAAATATCACACTCTGTTGATTAGGTAGGTGAAAGCTTAACCTCTCTACCGAAGGTGCACGAAGTTGTATATCAAAACCAAACAGATGCCAGACCGCTTCACACGGGGATATGTACCTACAGTCATAGTACATATTTATCTCATCTACTGCTTTGCCATTCTCGTCATCATTGCCTGTTTTGTAAAATTCGGCTGTTACTCGATCATGACCCTTGTTAACATACTTGAACAGGTACTTGATTGACCTTGATTGGTTGCACCACTCGACATTTATATGAGCCTTGTACTTGAGCAATAAATATCTATTGTGCGGTACCACATACCTGTTGTCCAAGGCGATACCGTTCTTTGTAACTACACTGCCATTGTCTCTCCTTCTATATACCGGGTAACCATTGTCATCAAACGTAGAACTATCAACAAATCTCTTAGGAAAATGTTTAGAGCATCGCGCATTTACCATGCATGGAGAATTTGTCCTCGCTTTTCCACATGGACCATGCATCATAAATTCCTCTACCGCTTGGTAATACTTAGCATCTTTCTTTTCATCCGGAATCTCTGCGGAAATTATGTTGTCTAGAGTGAGAACTTGCCTAACTTCTTTACTTTTCTCCAGAAAAAGTAATATATGAGCATGCGGAAGACCTCACTTTTGAAACTCAATTGTATATATGACTGTAACAACATACAAATAAACATAATAAGGTTAAGCAATTACCTAAAATTTATTTAGATAAATTGATTTAAAATAATAAAAAAAAAATATTACCTCCAGCCACAGGGCCAAATAGTTGATTCTTTCGACAGTCAGCTATCAAAGCATCCAACTTAATCTTGAATAAGCGGCAAATTATGTCCGGCCGGTCTTCTGGCTTCAACCTTTGATCTTTTAAAAAGCGTTGCACCTCAGGCCTCGGATTGCATGTAAAAGTTATAAATAAATCTGGGTATCCAATCCATCTACATATTGCCATTGCATCTTGGTAGTTTTGTATCATGTATCTAGCACCACCCGTAAAACTCGAAGGTAGTATTATTCTACGACCTTGGGCTGCAGGACTTATTTCACCCCTCGTCAAAGCATCAGTCAATCCACTATAACTCTCACACCTTAGGCTTTTTTGGTGTGTCCTTATATAAATTAGTCTTCCAGACTCAACCATTGTGTAGCCATCTACAACGAACTGTTGGAACAACCGTTTGGCAAATAATATGGTACTCGGAGCTGACTGTCTAGATTGTATGCGGTAGCAAAAAAACTCCCTGGGGCTAATCCTCTGTCTACCACCAGAAGAGCGCCTGCCTACTACGTCGGCGAATGCAATGTCCTCCCGATAACCATCTTCGCCATATGGAAACAAAATAGGGTATTGCAGTGGTAAGTATGAAGGATTTAATTCAGTAATCCTCTGTAGGTGGCCACCCTTCGATTGAACAATAATATCACGCTCTCCAATACTTGTATCCAGATCTCCAACAATTAAAGCTGCTACTTCAGAAACTTGAGGCAGATTATATGTCCTCGCATCTCTAGTTCGTTTTCCCAACAACTTTATTTTTACTTCGGCGCATGGATTAATATCCAACTCAGACATAGCCATGCGAAAAGACTTAACCAAGACATTATTTTCATCCAGGTCTTTCTGAATGACATTCACTATTTCTACATGAATGTCATCTTGGTCACCACTACCCCTACAACAACATATACTTCGAATTGATATTTATTTAGATAAAAATAGTATTTAATGTGTAATTACGGAAACTTCTTTACCTCACAGCATTTATACGGTTGTTCCTTTCATTTGCCGTGTCGTATATGTATAACTGGGCCAAAATGAGGTTCTTTGCCTTGCTCTGGAAGTAAAGTGCCCATTAGGTGGTAGTTTTGACCACTTAATCGAAAAATTGGAGGTGCTCTCCCCTTGTTCACGTTCTTGTCAATTTTTCCACCCATTGATGTGAAGCAGAACATGTTGTTGTAGGTCCTAATGTTGTGTAAAAACTCTTTTGATATTTCGTCATTGCCGAAAAAGAGATCAAATATACCTTTTGGTGGCAACTTATTATCCGGCAATTTGATCTTCCCATTGTTGCAACACAACATAAACAGTGGCGATGCTTTTGTTGACAAATTCTTCTTCCTTTCTTCAAACCAAAACAGAGCCCCACAATGGACGCACTGATTCGTTGCATCACCAAAATCGCAGTATTGACCTGAAACCAAATATATACAAATTTAAATACTGATTTATATTTCAGGCAGGTATAAAACAAACATACATACCATGTTGTGGACCAGAGGATGTCCCAATTTCCGAGGTCTGCCTAACAGCGTTACCCGATATATTTGCATCTGAAATTAAAAAACATTTAAAAATTATTTTTAATATTGAAAGAGTGACCATATGTACTTTACTTATATTTGTTTGAAACACCACAGGGGACTATTTTTTTACCATCTATGTTCTGATTTGGGACATCGCTCATTGTATTGTTACTTTCATCTTCAAAGGCAGGTAACAAGTCTCTGGTTGTTACATGGTCTTCGACAATTGCATATTTATCTAATGGTTTACGAATTGCCAATTCATCTTGTGTTATCGTCGAACCCGGATTTTGTTTATCTACAATAAAAAATTTCTGGCAATTGCTTGGACCTATTTGTGTATTGCACTGCCGTACTGTACACATACATAATATTAGACAAATTTAAAGAATAACAATATTTAAAGTGACAATTAATTGAGACCACTACATTTTATGGGACTATAAAAAAATAAGTTGGTAGCACGTACTAACATAAAAAGGATAGAATTCTTAATATTATAAATTAAATACACTTAACATTATAACTTATGCTACCCTAGAATATGAAATAGTAATTTAACTGTATAAGTATTATTATATTTTATTGGAAAAATCACATGATAGACCATGGTCCACAATAATGTGTGCACCATAAATAGGAATAAAAGTGAAAAAGTGTATTTCAGCAAAAAATTGATATTAGAAATTGATATTATCAAATAAATCATATATCAGCAAAAAATTAGTGAAATTACAATTCCACACATACTTATATGTACCATGAGTTACATTATAATTAAATTACACATAACAAAAGAAATATAACTATTTGAACAAAAAATTAGAAATTGATATTATCAAATAAATCATATATCAGGCAAAAATTAGTGAAGTTACAATTCCACACATACTTATATGTACCATGAGTTACATTATAATTAAATTCACAAAGAGTCTATAGCAATTCAGCTTAGGGCATTTACCGGTAGTGATGTTACTCAATGGTGTGATATTTTCAGACAAACATCCTCGCTGGGGATTAGTGTAAGGAGTAGCTGTCGTCCGTTGGTCTTGATCTTGAGCAGCATTATTCGTAAAAGAGGAGCAACCGAAATGATTTGCTGTGATTGAAAATATACCATTAAATTAAGAACTAATTCCAATAATTATAACTCGAAACAATTAAGTACACATAACATAAATAATTTTACAATTGCACAACTTTAATACGTAATCGAATAGAATTATGTAGACGATGGTCCACATTCTAACTTAAATACAATTCAAATCTAAAAGTATATATCATTAAGTACAATGTAATCAATTAATTACACCTAATCAATTAATTAGAAATTGATATTAAACATAAATTACATTACAATTATAACATTTAATTTGACAAACAGCTTCGAACAATTAACAGTATAAGGACATTTAAATGAACAATTAATGTATATCAATTCATATATTGGGATTTACCATTACTGATGTTACTGAATGGTGTGATATCTGGGGACAAACCACATCCCAACGGATTTTGGGTTCGATTATTTGGCGTATGTTGCTCTTTCCCTTGACCAGCATTAGTCATTAATGATGATTTGCAAAAATTATTTGCTGTGAGGAAAAAAGAATCAATTAAAAGACGATAAAAACAACAGTAAGTACAACAATTGACATTTTTAAAATTAATCACACTTAATGCTATTCATTACGCTAGCCTATAAGTGTAAATTGTAATTGTTTTAAATAAGGTTTACATAATAAGTAGACCAATAAAAAGGTTTTTTAAATTCACAATGATGCCTATATCAATTGAACTTAGTTGATTTACGTTAGTCATGTTACTCAAGGGTGTGATGTTTTGCGACAAACACCCTCCTAGAGGAATGCGGGAAGGATTTCTTGCCGGAGGCTGTTGTTTTCCTTGAGCAGAATATTCCTTGATGATGAGTTGCCCAATTCATTTTCTGCGAATTAGAATAGAACATTAAAATAAATAATAATCCAAATAATTAAAAATCCTAAAAATGAATTACACATAACACAACTAACAGTACATAATTAATTTCGAATTGTTCAAGATTTACCTAACAATTATTTACAAATTAGTGATTGTGCCACTAAACACACCTAACAGATAATCTAATTGTGATATATATATATATATATATATATATATATATATATATATATATAATATATATATATATATATATATATATATATAACCTGAAATTGTAATGGCTATATAGTAACACTAATTTTATTTGACAAACTCTTAAGTATAACATTGTCCACAATAAATACCATTACAATTGTTAAGATTATATATCTAATTAATTACACATAACAATTCAAAATTAAATATATAAATAAATAACTATATACATATCTATATATTTATTTATTAATTTATATGTATAAACTATTTAAATATATATATTTTCTGTATATATATAATTTGCCGCACATAATATATATATATATATATATATATATATATAATATATATATATATATATAATTATTATTGTTTTATATATATATATACATTAATTATTATTGTTTTTCCGGTCGGAATATTGAGAGAAGAGGAAGGAGGCTGATAAGCCTTCTCCTTCGCTTGACCTCTCCTTCTCTCATGTCTGAACCGCTCTGTTCTTCAGCAATTCCAAACGATCTTCCTATATTTCTCTGTCAAGCCTAAATCTAGATCAGTCCTAAGTCGTAATCTCCGATTCAACTGTTCTTATTGAACATTATTTCTGGAGAAATTGTAGTCGGGTCTCGCTTAGCATCGATCCGATTTTCAATACACAATCCCGATCTTTCCTTTCTGTGAAAGATCGTAGTGTTCAACAACGGTAAATGGTGGCAATCGCGTTTCAGTGAAGCTAATTCTCCAATTCTAAGGTTAGTATGCTTTAAATCTACACAAAACTTGTTTAGGGTTTTGTACTTTTCATTGTTCTTTGTTCTAAAATTGATCTACATTTCTGGATCTACGCATGCATATCGACAATTCATAGTCCAATTTATTGATTTCAGATTTGTATGATTCATAGCCATTAGTGTTCTAAACCGTATTCTTTTTAGAAATTGCTCTAAAAACACCAAATAGAAATTACTCTTAACTGTTTAACAATCATTTTCAAAATGGTATAGCTATATTATTATTCACACAAACCCTAACCTTTTTTCGACTTTATCATGTTGTTTTTCATGAACATACTGGAATTTTTTGAGGAGACAGAGAGCATAAACAGAATCGCACAGGAAGAGGATGCTATAATGAAGCTTAATTTGAAGTATTAAAAAGATAAGTTTCGAACTTACCTTTATTTTCATCACTTGGTTTCCTTTTGATGCTATAATTGTTGATTTAGTGATTTTCCTCATTGCTCTGTCTATTGTTTTTACTTGAAAATGTAGATGTGATTTGTCTATTTTACTGGGTATGAAACTGGCAGGTTGTGTTGGTAGTTAGATGGGGCATCCTTGTTTAGATGGGTTCATTGTAGTTTATTTTACTTTTGCCTTGATTTTGAAAATAGGATTGGAACTGAAGAGTTTTCTCTTAATAGTAATGATAGCTGCCCATCAATTCTATTTAATGTTTAGGCAATGTGTTTCTTT